AGGGGCTGGGAAGCCCAGCGTGAAGCTGCCATCGAAACGCCAGTGCCTACAGTGGCTGGTTTATAGGCAGAGCCCAAGGGACGGTTTCTTTCATGGCAGTGTTTTCACGTTAAAATAGCTAATGTTGGACAAGGCTTTTTGCTTTGGTTGTACTGTTCCCAATATTTTCTTCTCTTTCATTTTTAATATTGATCCTGTACTTTGTGGAAAGGAAATAATTTCAAAATCGTGTTCGCTCCACTAGCAAGTCACGGAATCACGATTTCTCTTCCAGCCTACTATCACAGCAATAAAACCCCTCAAATCACTTAGAATTTAGGCTGCCTCTTGTCACAGTCGAGCGCATGGCACCTCCTTGGAGCAGGTCCTTAAATGAAAATATTGTAAATTTTTTGCTGTTCAGACACTACTGCAGAAACATGAGTGGCCAAGGAGAGAGGAGGTTTTTTTCCTCCTGCTGGAATTTTTCACTATAACCATCCTCAGGGGAGTTCTCATCTTCAAAAGAAACATTCTTTCTGTACAAGCTGCAAAAAGAATTATTTAATGACATCATAAATTAATACAGAGAGGCACAAATTTTCCAAAATGTGGAGAGAGAGAGACAAAAAAAAAATTAGCGTTTGCCAAAAACACCCCAGCACTTCCAGACTTTGGCCTCTCTTGAGCCTGTGAGCTGCCAATGATACCAAATTGAATGGTGGAGCTTTTGGCATGACATAAGTTTAGCTTGTTTAAATTTTGGCAAATATTCGTATTACTCACATACTCAGCAAACTGATACAAATATTTGTTCTATTTAGAGTGAAGTCCAAACTCAGTGCTGGCAGAAGTGCTGTTGGACCCGGTGGAACTACGCTTGCTTGTGCCAATATTAAATTTGGATGTCTACCTTAAAGAAAAACAGAATAAAAAAGTCCCCTAGCCTTTTAGGTACGGATTAGAATACATCAATGGAAAACAGACCTTGTGTGTATCCAAGTTTTCCTCGCTTGCTAATTTTTGCCTTAATCTGATTTGAAATGGACCTAGTTTTTCTGCACTTGGATTGCTGTTCCCTGTTACGACGCAACGAGCCAGCTAACCAGAGCTGGAGCTGAAAAAGCCTCCGCACACGTGAAGTTCTCCACATTCTTGAGAAGTAAAAGCTGTTTAGACTGTAGTAAATCAAGCCCGCACGCAGTAAGCATACTTGATCTATTTTAATGCTGTGCAGGTTGTAGGGATTTATTTTTTTTTTAATGATGTCTGCAGTTTAGTGTTTCTGATTTGAAAAACAAATAGACCCTTAACTTTCTCCCTCCGAAATGTGCAGGTCCCGAATCCTCAAGGGTACTTCGATGTTGCTGTGCTCTCTGTTTCTGAATGCCCGCAGCACGCCGCCAGCCAGGCGGCACCGGGAACGACGCTGCCCAGCCGGGTGCTTCACGGGGAGTCGCACACTCGGCCGCTGCCAGACCTACCCAGGTGTGAAATGCAGAAGAAATGAAGTGGAACCTGGGTGCCTGCCTTGCCCATGAGCTCGCTCTTGGGATCGGATACATAAACAGGTTAGAAATTTTGCAATGAAAAAAAAAAAAAAACCAAAACCAACCCCAAAACCAAAATAGAACAGCACATTTCTATTCCGTAAATTAATACAACCGGACTGTGCTTCAGGGATGTGCTAGCTATGGATCTGTGCTCAGCTCGAATGTGATTAGTGAGCTGACTGCTATTTAACGTTATCTAAATGCTTTTATAAATGTCACGTAGAAGTGGGATCCCACTAACTTTAGCTATTTAGAAATGGGAAATCTAGTCTAAGTGGCTGAGCTAGATTCCTCTCTGAGTGGAAAAAGATCATCACGAGAGAATGATTCATCCCATTTTAATCTAAATGTCTGATCTCTCTCCATTGACTATAAAAGGAGCCCAGATGACCAGATTAGCATATATCCAAATTTTGCACATTTATGTGCTAACTCAGCCTTTTACAATCAGGTCCTCTACTCGCAAATATCATGTACTATTTTTAGAACTAAAAGCTTCTTATTTGCCACAGGGTTTCAGAGGTACTTGCTCAGCTCCAGTGGCTGGCGTGGGACTGAGCCTCGGCTGTGCCCTTCACAAAGGCTGACAGCAGTGCCTCCTGTGTGCTCGCAAGTTAGAGCTTGGATTAATTACATGTCTAAGTCTCCTCTGTATCCCCTGCATTAAATGAAAGCTGTTGGAACAATTCTTATAGGAGTTACTTTTAAAACTGCCTTAAATCAATAAATATTGCATTGATGAGCAGAAGGTGTATGAAAAATGGTTAAAAATAGAAGCAATGATTATTCATCAAAAATGGCATTGTTATTCTGTTAATCATATTTGTAAAACAGGCAAAAGATCCAGTCTAGCTTGTCGTTTTGACGCTGGGTTGATGACCCCATTAATTTTTAGGTGATAGTGGCAGTATTTGTCTCGTTTAGTGTTGATTCAGTGTCACTATGAGAAATGAACTGAGCATTTCAAATCATGGGTAGTGACGCCCTCAGACCTCTCCCCCCACTTCCAACCTTTAATTCTTCACTATTGTCATTGTAACTGATCTGCACATAAGTACAGGAACATCATTTTGGTGCTTTTGTTATCAGCCCAGTGGCTGCTTTTATCTTAGCCCAGCAGCGCTCGGTGTATTCAGATCAATTCATGTGACCATTAAAAAAAAAAAAAAAAAAAAAAAAAAAAGAAACACGCGATATCACAAACAACCCAAAACCCTTTTAGTCTTGCAGTGGGCAGTTAGAGTTTGACAGAGTAGCTATGAGATGGGAAAGAAAGGGTCAAGTGTGCATTTTGGGAAAGTGTGAGATCAGTATAACCAGACAGTAGGAGACAAGAGAGACGAGGCATCCAGTAATTCACCATGGAACATTTTTATACTAATTATTGAAATGCACCCAGAGACAGCTTATAGTAGTAAAATGACTTTATGTTCTGATATGTAAAATAAAATGTCCATGCTATGTAACAAACATTTAAAAATTCCATACCACCTGTACCTAATGTGGTTTCTAATAAAGATTTATCTGTAGTATATATGTTTTTCATCTAACCAATTCTTAGTTTTTACATCAAAGGTGTGTAATAAAAAAATCTTAAATAGATGTCTTTCCAAAAAAACCTTGCAACATTCAATTTTATTAAGTATTTCATTCGTAAAAAGCAAAGCTGAATTGGACACGTGGCCTGCATTTGTGATATATATATATTTTTATATATATATATAATATATATGTATATAAATAGCTATTCAGCATGCAAAAATTGTAGTGATTTCCGAAATCTGATTACAAAATCCACACTGGTCACATACATAGTCTGCTGAATGGGTGTATGAGATTGTCCTGGTTGAAAGGTGACCTCCACTTTAGTGGCCTCCGGGTTGTCTCATTGCAAGCAGCCGCCCTCATCCATCAGCCTCTCTTCACTGGAAGGGATTCATCGAAACGCAGAAGTACCTCCTGACTTCCAAGTTTGTATTTCAGCTTTTTGTCTTTGCCCATTTGGGAAGCACGGGAGGAAAAAACCCCGCTGCGCGTGACTAGAGCTTAAATATTGCGCTCTTTAGTGGAACCAAACTCCCAGCATCACCTCTGGGTTGCCATCTCTTGGGACAGCATCGCCTGGGAACTCAGCAGGATGGACACACTGCAGACTGGAGGAGGATGCGTCCCTGCTCAGGAGCTTTTTGGGTGAAGGCATTGGGAGTTTTGTTCCAGAAAGAGAGCACCTCACTTTCCCACGTGAGGCCGTTTCGCACTGTGGCTGTCGCTGAGTGACTCCTTACCTGATCCCTCCCGACCTCGTAGGGACACTTTGGTAGGCGAAGTCAGCGCTGAAGGAGTCATTTCAAGATACTTCCACAGTAAACAGTAGTAGCAATGTATACACTGATTACAGATTTTTACCTGTTCTACAAATATTTGTACACTGTAAAGCCTGATGGGTAACGGGAACTCATCCCGCCCCACCCCACGATTAAGAAAATAATCCTCTATGCCTCCTTTATGCTGAAAACAATTCTTTCCGAGCTAGCTGCAAAAGAAAAAAACATAGCACAAAAGGCGCGTTTCAGCTGAATATGAAAGAAATCAAGGACCAGCAAATAAAGAAATCGTTTCTGGAAAGTATTAGCAACTTTTAAGCTTAAACTTCATAAATATATTGCAATAAGCAAGTGTGATTCAATCAATGGATGGGAGTCTGACGACACTGGGTCTGTTCCTAACGCTGCAATTCATTTACTGCTTGGCCTCGGGCATAACGCTTCACTTCGTAGTTTCCCACAGCCACGAACGATGGTGGTGTGGGGGGAAGAAGAGACATTTATTTGTGCATCGGTGCCTTCTCCTCTCCGTGCCATGGCACGAACCCTGCGCTGCACCGGGAAGGTACCGGAGTGGCACCGCAGCTCCCTGACCCCACCGCCGAGCCTCCCCGCCGGCCCCTGCGCTCCTACGGCTCCGTCACTTCCAGAGGAAGAAGGAATTTCTACAGATAAAAAGAGCTAAAGAAATGCTGCTACAGCAGTCCTCGAACTACGCAACCAAACAGATCGCTTTTTCCTTTGGGTTTTGGGATGCTGTGACTTCACAAACCAAGTACCATAAAAGTGAAGCTCATATTTTTCCCAAATAGCCAAGATTTGCTCATGGATGTTTAATATTACAAGCAAAAGAAAACGACTAGCTACTTCACTTGTTAGTCATGAAGGTGGTTCCTACTGGATCGGTAATGAAGACGCGAGAACTAATTTATTCGGGAGTCAGTAAGAGACTGATGAATCCAGCCCACCGAGACAGGAGATGTCATTCTCTGTGTGTCTGAAGATACAAGCTCTTCACCCACACAAATCCCTCTGGAAATGCACGTTTGTCTCACCGAAGTGCAAGTTACCCACAGGTATCGACACTGATTGAACACTGTCCTGGAGCAGTAACGTTGGCTGTGGCATCGCTTGGCCGTCGGAGTCATCCGTCAGTCCAGTTCTCCACAGTCCCCATCCCTGAATGATACTGCAGCGACGACTCCCTCGACAAGGAAAAGCTTTGTGAGTACAGGAATTCGTTCGCCGCGTTTAGGTGCGGAGAGGGGGGTTTTCTCTCGCACACAGACGGGTGCACCCTTTCCCTTGGGAAAGACGAAGAAGGAACGCGCTCCCGAACCTGAGACTGGGACAGCTGGTTGTAGACACTGAAGTGGCTGTTACCTGGTGGCTGCGAGCCTTGGCCCGTGATGGACGGGAGCCGCGGCATCATGGTGGTGGCAGTAAAATGAGCAGGGAAAGGCTGGTAAGGGACAGTTTCCATTGTCTGAACGCTGTAGCTGGTGTAAGGTGCGACGGAAGTCCACATATTGCAGCTCAAGGGGGGAGGTGGTGGTGGCAAGTCATCAACCGTTGAGACACCAGCAATTTCAGCCCCAGAACCAGAGTACATGCAGGCTTCCCGCGGAGTCACCTCGCTGCAATAGGAAGGGCTTAACATCTGCTGATCGTAGGGAGGCGGGGAACGGAAATAGTGATCGTCTCCTACAGAAGAGGAAGCTTCCAGGTAGGAGCGCTTGCAGGGCAGGTCCAGGTGCCGAGCACTTTCTGCAAAGAAAATAAAAAGACGCGTGTTCAGGAGCAGCTCCCCGAGCGACGGTGTTTCACAGCAATCTGCTAAGAGCATGGGGTGGTTCTAGCAGTCCCCTTAGAAGCCCAGCACGAAATCTGTGATTATTTCTCACAACTGCTGCTCTTTCTCAGATTAATCCAGTTAAACCACTTCAGTTTGGAAAGACAATGTACAACATCAAAAAGACATTGTGTTGCAAATGTCAGGCTAATCCCCTCAGCCTCAAAGCATTCTGGTGACATTTATCAGGTTAAGTGAGTGACTTGGGCTACTATTCTCACATCAGAGATTACTTCGCATTCATCCAGATAACAGAGGTCCCTGATGCTCTTGCAGTGTTACTCCTGACAAATTCAAGAAGTCTCTTAAAGGGTCTTATCGCAGCCTGCCTTCCTGTCATTACAAAAATTACTATACATTTCCCAGATATTCGTGTCAAAAGCTGCAGAAATATTTCCAGATAAAGGAGCCCTTTCCCAGTCATCAGTCCTTCCCTCAGCTTTACGCTGAGAAGCTGTAGCCCTCTCCTACAGATTACGGTGACCGTGGCTGTCTTTAGCAGCGGGGTTCTGTTAGTTGTTAGGAATATTCTCTGGATGAATTAGTGAATTCATCTGCAGATTAAACATCTGCTAAAATTACACATTTGCCTTGCAGTCCTCATTACTGGTGCTGTTAGATTCTTCGTTTGCCCGTGATCAGAGGATTCTCACAGCTTAAATGAATTAGCGGCCAATGAGACATGCAAATAGAAGGATTTTTTCCTGCGCAAAATTTTTCCGTTTAACTTAAAACATGTCATGATCTCATCTGATGCTGGACTAAAAGGAAGAGAACGTAGTTACAGCTCGCTTAAACTTGAGAACCAGTGGATAAGAAGAAAGGGGTGCTGACACCGGCCTACCACTGTCCCACTAATCTGCACACATCGAGAGAATTGCTAATGGCTTCGTCCTGGAAAAGTGCTGAATGTGTATAATTTAATTAACGCTAACGGCAGTGTCAAAGCATCTCAGGATAGATAAGGCACCCTCCAAACAATTATTAATTCAGCTGATTCTAACAACGGATAATTTTCCAGCACAGTTTCATGCCGTTTGAATTATGCATTTTGATTATTTTTTTCAGCTCTGACTCAGAGTCTGAATTTGCCTTCTATGGGACAAAACCACTAATAACTGCCCAAAATCCCAGCTCGTGGGCCCTGACCCTCCGAAACACTTCCATCATGTTCGTATCTTTGAAGATCAAGGCCTAAGAGACTGATCCAAAACGAACCGGAATTAGCAGTAAGCCTTCAGTGCTCATGCTCTTAGGTTTATTTGCTGTAATATTTTTCTAGCTGTAAACTCAAGTTACCTCTTCTTTTTAGGCAATGATAGAAGAGCCCTGAATCCCTCTGTGCTGTGAAGGTGTTGAGTGGCAGGTCTTGAGTATCTGAAGCTGCAAATTGCATGTGAGCACCGTTCTCATACTGATAATGTTGAAGGGTCTGGTGATTCCCATGAAGAGGGTTAACATCTGGCTTTGCTGAAAGCTGGCCATGACTGGACACCAACCTCTGCCTCATGATGCTTTTGGAAATTACTGGATATTCTTTGCTAAAGGAGGTAAGAAAAATTATTACCAGTTAGAGAGCACTCAGCATCAACAGAAAGGTGAAATATCAGTTTGGGTTCCCTAGAGCATCTCCATCCAATGACTTCAACACCCTTTGCCAAATACAATGAACTCATACTCATCACACTCTGCTGGGTGTGGGCAAGTATTATGACAACCCACAGAGTGTGTCACTGAAAAAGACAGTGGAAGAGCTTTTCAGGGGTATAAATGGCATTGAAAGCCCTAATGCCTTCAAACACAAGCAAATGTGATGTCCCCACGGCACAGGCACTTTTAACTTCTCCAAAGAAGTGCAGCACTTTAGTTGCAGAATAAGAATTAAAGCATCGTTTGGGAGGAAACGATGAAGCATGGTGTAATGAGATGGGGACCACTGGATTGCCTTGGGAATGAGCTCCCTGCACTGCCTAAGCCTCCTCTGCACCGATGGAGCAGGACTCCTGGGAAGCCACAGGGGTGTCCCCACTTTCTTCTGTCTCCCAACATTGGTGGTGCTTTGCTGGGGTGGCTCTCCTCCTTGTGGTGGTTTTATTTATACAGGAGCGTGCCCATATGGGCTGGTCATCTCCAATACAAAGACTTGCTTTGATGGATTAGATAGATGTAGCTACTGACTGCAGGTGCTCTTTGTTGTCGTGGTTGGAAATCCCAGGTTTGTTTCAGGATATTAATTTTTCCCCTGGGATGATATTAGCAAGGGACCTGCAGACAAAATCAGAACCCTGTTAAATTTATCTGCTGCCTATGGAATACCATCGTTCTGTAACAGAAATCCCCGTGATTTAAACAGTATTGCTTTTCAAGCAAAACCAGTAGTCCATGTGAAAAGGACAAAAAGGCCCAAAGTAATTCAATATAGGGTGAGTAAGGCTGTATTTCTGCACAGGGCAGAAGGTCTGGAGGGTGCTGCACGTCGGACGCTGCCTGCCCATACGTGCTGCCTGGATTCAGTGCAGCCACGCACACATGTGTCCACGCTGCAGAGCAGCCCCCCGACCCCGACGTGCTGAGCACCCCTCCGCCGCCGTCCCTCCTCGCGCCGCTCGGCCGTACCTTTGCAGTCGTGCCACGCGCAGGTCACTGTCGTCGCTCCCCCTGAATCCCTTGGCAAAGGGGTTGTTTTCAATTTTCAGCTGGGTTATCTTTAAAAGAACAAAACCAAACGTAAAGCGGTGGAAAATAGATCAGACCCAAAGGTGCAGCAGCAGGGCGGAGGCTGTAGGTCTCCAGATCCTACACGCCTCCCCGTGGCATGCAGAGTCCATGGGCGTTTCAGCCTCCTCAAGACGTGGTGGCAGAGACAGTGTGTCTGCGCTGGGAGCCGGGAGAGAAACCCAGCTGTGGAGTTCAGTGCTAGAGCTTTTAAAGCTGACAAAACTGCTGATTATGAATGAGGACAGGAATGCAAATTTCCTTAAGTTGGGGTCTTGTGTCCTTATTCTGGGTTCTTGTTAGCAAGAACATTGGACGCGGATTTGTCTGATTTAAAAGAAGGTTTTCTATGTATCCGTATTAGAGATGCCTATTCCTTACGGCGCGGCTCTCTCTCATTTCCATAACAATTTTACAGCCACCATTCAGCCATTCTTCCTCTGTGAAAAGACTCATAACTCAAACAGTGAATTATCTTTGGGTGAGGGAAAGGTGCTGCCTTTTCCAAGAACTGCCTTCCGCCCCAAGAGCTGCCATGTACTAAAAGGGTCAAAATGCCTTAGAATTGACTTAGAGTAGACTTAATTTGGATGGAGCTCAGCTTTTGTAAGATAACTGTGAAAGCTCTGCCATTTCATGAAAATTCTGTTAAAAGAATTATGGGTGAAAATTCCTTTAAAAATATTCAGTAGTTGGTCTGTTACAGCCCCAGTAACTATAGTGTTCCCTTGCCAATGCTGCCACCCCGTCCCTTCCCTGTATAAGGGAAAGCCAAAAAGCC